TGAGAAAAAATATAAGTCCAAGAATGTCGGGTCTAAAATGTTTGTTGTGGCCCGATTTGTGGACTATAAGATGGTAGATGGCAAGTCTGTTGTCGAGAAAGTGGAAGAATTTCAACATATTGTTCACTCTGTTATCGATGAGGAGATGTCACTGCCAAAAAAGTTCATCACGAGTGTGATGATCGAGAAATTGCCCCCGAGTTGGAGCAACTTCAAGCACTGGCTGAAGCATGAGCTAAAGCAAGTGGGGCTTGAAAATCTTATTGTCCGAATCCGGATAGAGGAAGACAACAGAAAGCAGCACAAGGCTAAAAGTGAAGATATTGCTAAAGCCAATTTGGTCGGAGATCCCGCCAAAAAACGTGCACGCCCAACTCAAACGGACAAGGCAAAGCCAAACAGTCCAAGTTCACAGGTAACTGTTTTAACTGTGGAAAAACAGGACACCAAGTTAAGGACTGCAAGACACCGAAAAGGAAGAAACCGAGTTCCCAATTGGTCGAGACGAGCCACCGGACTGATCGTTATCTCAATAGTGACGACCTTGTCGTTGTTGTGTACGAAACTTATAATGTGGAAAGTCCGAGAGCTTGGTATATTGACACCGAAGCAACCTGTCATGTTTGCTCTAACAAAACAAACTTCTCGACCTACAAGGAGACCGAAGGGAGGAAGCTGTACATGGGAAATCATGCAACTTCTGAGGTCCAAGGCGTAGGGAACGTGGTGCTGAAGATGACCTATGGCAAAGAACTAACCCTGAAAGATGTCCTGCAAGTGCCAGACATTCGGAAAAATCTCGTCTTAGGATCGCTACTAGTTAGGCATGGTTTTAAACTTGTCTTTGTAGCAGATAAATTTATATTATCGAAAAACGAGATGTTCCTAACTAGGGGTTATCTTACAAATGGATTGTTCAAATTGAATGTAATGGCCGTGCGCCGAGCACCACTTGCTGATAATAAAAATGTTGCTTCTTCTTCGTACTTGACTGAGTGTTCTGATTTATGGCATTGCAGACTAGGTCATGTAAACCTAAATGTTATAAAAAGATTAGTAAATATAAAATTACTAAATATAAAAGAGGTGAACACTCAAAACAAATGTGAAGTTTACGTGGAGGCCAAAATGGCAAAATTACCTTTCCCGTCTGTCGAAATGAAGACTAAGTCATTAGAGTTAATTCACACTGATGTATGTGATTTAAAATTTGTGCAAACTAGAGGTGGAAAGAAATATTTCATCACCTTTATCGATGATTGCACAAAGTATTGCTATCTTTACCTATTAAGGGAAAAGAGCGAAGCAATCGAGGCCTTCAAGAACTTCAAAATCGAGGCAGAAAATCAACTTGACAGTAAAATCAAGACAGTTCGAAGTGATAGAGGTGGCGAATATGTGGCCCCATTCGAAGAATTATGTAATGAAAGTGGCATAATTCATCAGACAACGGCTCTGTATTCACCTCATTCGAACGGCGTTGCAGAGCGCAAAAATCGAACACTTAAAGAAATGATGAATGCCTTGCTGATAAGTTCAGGACTTCCCCAAAAACCTGTGGGGAAAGGCGGTACTGACTACAAATTATATCCTGAACAAGATTCCATTTAAGGGTAAGGATGCCACCCCTTACGAATTATGGAAAGGCAAGAAACCCATATACAAATATTTCAAAGTGTGGGGCCTAGCAAAGGTGGAAGTTCTGTTTCCAAAGCAAGTCGCTATCGGCCCAAAAACGGTAGACTGCATATTTATCGGATACGCACTAAACAGTAGTGTCTATCGTTCATAGTTCACAAATCGGAAATCCCTGGGATGACCGAGGGAACTACGATAGAATCAAGGAATGTCACATTCTTTGAAAATATCTACCCTTGTAAGGAACGAATGCAGTCAAATCCAAAATCCGTAGTTGAAGAACTACGGGGTGTAAAAAGACAAATGACTAATAGCTTTGATTAAGGGGCTTCAGAACCTAGGCGTAGCAAAAGGACAAAGGTCAAGAAAACCTTTGGTCCGGATTTTGTTACGTATATGTTAGACAATGATCCAACAACGAACAAGGAAGCACTATCCAGTACTGATTCTCCTTTTTGGAAGGAAGCAATAGATAGTAAAATAGACTCAATAATGCATAATAACACTTGGGTGTTATCTGACCTACCCGAAGGTTGCAAACCACTAGGGTGTAAATGGGTTTTAAAAAGGAAACTCAAGGCTGATGGGTCTATTGAAAAATATAAAGCCCGTCTCGTAGTAAAAGGCTATAGACAAACCGAAGGGTTTGACTTCTTTGACACATATTCACCGGTAACCAGGATAACATCCATTCTAATACTTTTTTCGATTGCGTCTTTGAACAATCTTGAGATTCACCAAATGGATGTGAAGATTGCTTTTTTAAATGGTGAATTAGAAGAAAAAATATATATGGAACAACCAGAAGGATATGTCGTTCCTGGCCAAAAGAAAAAGGTGTGCAGACTGATAAAGTCTTTGTACGGGCTGAAACAAGCACATTTACAATAGCACTTGAGATTTGATAATGTTATGCTATCAAATGGCTTCAAAATAAACGAGTGTGACAAGTGTGTCTACATCAAAGAAACACCTTCCGGTTTTATCATAATATGTCTATATGTAGACGACTTACTAATCATGGCCAAAGAGGTCAGTCTGATCAATGAGGTCAAATGTATGTTGAGTCGTAACTTCGACATGAAAGATTTAGGGGTTGCCGACGTCATCCTTGGAATGAAAATTCTAAGACAAGACGAAGGTATTGTCCTAACTCAGTCTCACTATGTGGAAAAGATACTGAGAAAATTCAATACCTATGAAAACACTCCAGTGAAAACCTCAATGGACCTCAGCGTATACTTGAGCAAGAATATGGGAGACCTCGTAGCTCAAGAAGACTATGCCAAAATTATTGGAAGCCTAATGTACTTAACAAATTGTACAAGGCCTGATCTGGCTTGCTTTGTAAACAAGCTGAGTCGATACACTAGCAACCCCAGTTATGAACACTGGAAAACGCTAGTAAGAGTATTAAGTTATCTTAAATTTACTCTGAATTTTGGCATATACTACGCGAAATATCCACCGGTACTCGAAGGGTATTGCGATGCTAATTGGATATCCGATGCAAAAGACTCACTGTCTACAAGTGGATATGTATTTACAATTGGAGGAGGAGCAGTCTCGTGGAAATCCACAAAACAGACGTGCATTGCATGGTCCAAAATGGAATCGGAGTTCATCGCCTTGGACAAAGCTGGCGAAGAAGCCGAATGGCTGAGGAACTTCATGGATGATATTCCATACTGGACTAAACCAGTACCTCCCGTAATGATTCACTGCGATAGCCAAGCTGCAATAACAAGGGCTAAAAATGGAATTTACAACGGTAAATCCCGATATATCCGACGTAGACATAACACTGTAAGACATTTGATCACCAGTGGAGTTTTGACTATTGAATATGTAAAAATCAATAGAAAACCTAGCGGATCCGCTAACCAAAGGGTTGCAGAAAGATCAAATGTACATACTGCTAAAGGGAATGAGTTTGAAATCCACAAGATAGAGACAATTACAGTGGTAACCCAACCAAATCACTTGGAAATTTCAAACCTTGGTTTAATGAGAAAACTAAACTGTAAGAGTCTGGCACGAACACTCAATACAATTCCCTGAAAAGCAAGGAGTATTATAATGTGCAAAAATAGTGAGGTTGAGTCAATGACTCTTAATGATCCTAAAGGTGTGAGTTAGATACCTTGATATAGGATTACCTATATAAGTGTGAAGTGTGGGCCTCTTCAAATGAAACACTTATGAATCCAAAGACGAGATCCATGGCCGAAATGGATCAAAACGTGAGAACAAAGTTGAGACTGAGATAGCGACACATTAATATTATTGACTAAGTGCACGCAGAGGTGGAACAGTTCAATGCATCACGTCAACTGGGCCACCAGTACACTCTGTAATGTTGACTATGGAAAGTTCAAAGCCAAAAACTACCTATTCTGATGTATCAATGTCTCACAGGAATTGAGCTGGATTTCTGTCCTTCATGGGCATTTTCACTCATGTCAATGTCTCATAGGGATTGAGCTGGATTTCTGTCCTTCATGGGCATTTCCACTAATGTGCGGAATTGTTGGATAATCGGTTATTTTCAATCGATTATTTTTGTGAGTGAAAATGCGATGGACCGGTGTACCAAATTAATATAATTAATTTGGAAGAAATAAATATAATAAGGTGTATGGGGTTTGGTTAATATTTTGACTATTTTGTCTGTCTCGAGACAAACCAAATTGTGCAACCCCAATTTAATCTCGGATATATGGCCTAAATCGCAATCTTATTTGGATAAAATATTATCCGTTGGATAAATTTATTATAATCCCAAACGAAATGTTTGAAATTAGAATAAATTACAATTGTTTCAAACGGAAGGTTTGAAATTAGAATAAATTACGATCGTCATAAACGGAAAGTTTGTAATTAGAATCAATTACGACTGCTTCAAACGGAAGGTTTGAATTTATAATTAATTACATCGATAATTAAGGTCGTAATTACGATCGTAATTAATCCCCTGTCATTTTGACCGAGTTGAAACGCTCCCTTCATTCTAAACAACCAACAACAAAACAATCCTCTCGTCCTTCTCTCCTCTCTTCTAGTTTCCGGCAACCTCCCAACTCAGTTCCTCTCTCGTTTTTATTCGCCGGAGCTCCAACGATCAAAGGTGCCAATCTCGTTAGAGATGAAAACCTTTTTATTTTTGGGTTAGAACGCCATCCACCAGAGGCACTACCGAGGCGTATCTAATTTTCAAAAAGAGGATCCATCCTCAACTCAATTTCACGCTTATTCTCGCAATACCCATAAATTCCAACATAATTTTTGTAGACTAATTTGTTAGAAACAGTATTAATATGTCATACGATTCCAACTTTGGCCACTGTTTAAATAACCCCACCAAACGAACAATTAACAACGCCGTAAAGTTGGGAATCAGAGCACTAAAGATGAAAAACTGGGAGATTAATCAATGAGTTCTTCCCTTCGTTTACTCTGAAAGTGGAAGTAGATATAAATTCTGGAACCGTACTTCTCGCGCCCAATTTCCGACCCTCATCTCATCGACGGGCTCAATCAGGATCGACGGAATTTCCATTTTCATCCTCCCAGGGCCAGCAGCAATTGCTAAGGATTGGATTCTATAAATAAGGTAATACTTTGTAGCTTTTCAATTCATATGTTTTCTACGCTTTCGCCTGAATTAGATGCTGATGACTGTCTCGCAGGCATGAGTTTCTTCAAGGATATAACTGAAAGATTTGGCTCCATCTTCTCTGATGTAGACTCGCACCAGAACCCTAGTTCCGCCGCCGATCGAGCTGCCGACGGAGACGGCGTTGTTACAACGGGAAACGAGCGGGCTGCCTATAAGCTGAAAGGATACTTCGATTTGGCCAAAGAGGAGATTGCTAAGGCCGTTCGGGCTGAAGAGTGGGGACTACCGGACGACGCTATTTCTCATTATCAAAAGGCACAGAGGATATTAGGTGAAGCAATTTCTACACCGGTTCCTTCTTACATCTCCTCTAGGTAATCATAACCTTTTGATATTTCAGTTATATTTATTTGCATTTTGATTCCATATGTGAATTATAACTTCTTATGGTTAATGTGTGATGTGGATCTTCTCCGTGTTAGGATTTAAGGGATATTACCGAACTAACATTCCCCAATCGACAAGAATAACCTCTTAAACAATTGAAGATGTAAACAAGGATAAATCAAGAATTACAAACTATGAGAATGATGAAAATTGCTAGAAAAAAGGATTCACTAATACCAAAGAATTACAAAATCTAATTTAGCACTCTTTATGAGATGTACTAATTTTCTTATGCAACGTGGTAGAATTTTGACATGGATTCTACTCCTTGCGTTGGGTAGTTAACCCAACCCAACGAATATCTTAAAAAGAAGAATGGTTCATTGGACAAAGCCACGGAGAGAGAAGGCAATAGCTAAAGATTGCTTTAGCATAGTAGCCATTGAAATTATTGTTGTAATAACCCCAGAGTTAGGGACGGTGATAGGCCAACTCTCATGGAGCATCCAAGATTGAATATAGGTTAAATTGATTGAATAGACTACTCATATTAACAATATGCATATTTCTTTTCGGAAGCCCTATTGAAAGAATTCAAGAGTTAAGCGTGTTTAGCCTATAGTAATTTGGGGATGGGTGACCTACGAGGTTAGTCTACAATCCCGACACACTCGAATTTGCGTGGCTTACAAGCCGGGGTGTCACCAGTGCCGAGCCATCTGCTCCACAATGTAGTCTTTCAAAGAGAACAGTGTAGAAACACAGCTGTACAACTGAACCCAACAAATGTTTAGAGCGCAGAGAGAGAAGGCTAGATGGGCATGCCCATGCCTCATTTATCGTGGATGCAGTTTCTAACTATCCTGTGTGAGAAGTTAGCCTTGCAATCCTACTTTTGCAAGAATCATAAAGTCCCTCAGTGGTTAGCCTAACCACGAAACTAGTGAGTTGAATCAAAAGTGCAAACTGCAAACACGCTAGAGATAGTAAATATGAGTCACCTTACTTAACACTCTATATTTGCAAGTTGATTAAATAATGATGGACAATTTGATGCTTTGATTAAGTGAAGCTCAGGTTTGTTAATATGAAAAATGATATTACTTGATCAGCTCTGGTTGATGTTTGTATATGCGATTATGCGTTGGACTCTTCCTTGTTTGATTGATTGGTTATTTTTTAATTTATAGTTTTCAGCTCTGATGTTATGGTATATGCATATTTCTTAATTATTAGAGATCTTTGCTTTCAATTTCATAAACTTTTCGACAGTGAACTGGAGAAGGTGAAATCTTATCGTCAAAAGATATTGAAATGGCAGAGTCAAGTAGCAGAGAGACTGCAGACTATAGCTCAAAGAACAAATTTATATTCTGTTGCATCTACTGCAGCAGGTGGATCGTCAGAAACCAAGGTATAGACCACTCTTACTGAATTAAATTAAGTATTGTACTTTGTTTGATTTAAATTAAGCACGTGGCAAGGAGACAAATATGATGAGCAGTTGATGACTTGCCTGTCTTTGAGTACTATAATTTCTGCTCATTGGGCAATGTAATAAGAACACACAATTATATCGTTCATTGAGCATAGGAATATGTACATGAAATTTGAGTAGGAGCATAGTTGTAAATGGTGCATGATGTAGCATGATACAAAGGTGCATGGTACGACACCTAAGTATCAATATATAATTAGATATAAATATATTATAAGTAATTAATACAGCACAACTTCAACAAATAATTTTTAACTATCATACAAGCATTATTTATAGTTTGATTAGTTGAATAAATAGATAAAAAAACAGCTCTTGTGCTGAAGATTTTTCCGCACCAGCTTCTTCTACCTAAGGTGCTGAGGTGCACGCCATTTACAACTATGAGTAGGAAAAAATCTATTGTTCTTGAAACCTTTTTCTTAATATGTCAACATGGATTACCTATTTGATTTATTCCCTTTTATGTATGCTTTCCTAGAAGACCTTACCTAAGTCACAAGCTGCAGCCATATCACATACAGCTTCACATCCAAGAAAAGTGGCAGCACAAAAGTCTTCTGTGAATAATAGCCGAGGAAACCCTCCTGTGAAGGGTCAGGGTAATAATGCAATGAAACACAGACCCGTTCCAGAATCTGGAGGTGGCTATGATGCCAAACTGGTAGAGATGATAAACTCTATGATTATTGATCATAGTCCTTCTGTGAAATGGGATGACATTGGTCAGTCTCTGTGATTTCATCATAGATGTATATATTTCTATTCTGTTTCTGTGTTATTTCTGTGTACTCTTCATTTACTAATCTAGATGCACATAACTTTTGCAGCTGGTCTTGAGATGGCAAAACAGGCACTTCTTGAGATGGTTATTCTGCCAACGAAAAGAAGAGACCTCTTTACTGGGCTTCGGAAACCAGCGAAGGGTAATATCAAGAAATGAACTTCATGATTACAAGTCAACAAGTTCTAACTTTTAAGTAATTTTATGTTCCAAAAGAAAATATAACTCCCAAATCCTAACCTCAATATACCTTCTAACATTGGTAGGCTTACTTCTATTTGGACCACCGGGCACTGGGAAAACCCTGCTTGCTAAAGCAGTAGCTTCAGAATCTGATGCGACCTTTTTTAATATCTCTGCTTCTTCCCTGACATCCAAGTGGGTGAGTCTCTCTCTCTCTCTCTCCCTCTCCCTCCCTCCCCCTCTCTCATTTTAAGTGGATAATTGTAAGTATCTACAGCCTAACTCCTAACATATTATAATCAAATTCAGGTGGGTGAGGGTGAAAAACTTGTTCGGACTCTTTTCCAGGTTGCCATTACCAGGCAGCCATCTGTGATCTTCATTGATGAGGTGAACAATTGTGGAATTTTATATTGGATGCCTTTTATATGTGACTTTATTTTACTCTGTTGTGGTTCCTGTTTTTTTTTTTTTTTTTTCTCCAGCTGTCTGTACACTATAGTATAAGTATACTCTTTTAATGATCAAAGTGAGAAATTAATTTGTTAGCAGCATCTACCCCATCAATGTTGATTGATAGAAATGGTGCATCTCAGTTGCTTATGGTCAATTGTCTAGTTTAAGTTCATATTTTTTCCTTTAGCACACCAGTCACCAAGTTGGATTTCTTATATGATCTGAAAATCCTGCTTTACAGATCGACAGCATCATGTCAACAAGGACAGAGAATGAAAATGAAGCAAGTAGAAGATTGAAATCAGAGTTTTTAGTTCAGTTTGATGGGGTATCATCGAGTTCGGGTGATTTAGTCACTGTCATTGGTATGTGCTTGCAGCCCATGCTTTGCCCTAGCTAATGTCTAGTGCAATAGTGTCTTGGGGTAATTTTGAGTCTCATTTATTTGTTTTTTTTAATGATATTTGTCTTCCTGACCAAATAACAACTTGTGCATTTCATGAATGAACCTGTGCTGCTAAATCCCTAGTATGTAGAAGGCTTTGGCATGCTTTTGAAGTCATCGTATGTCATGGGTTGGGGTAGAAGAGCCAGGATGGGTAGTAGTGGTTGCTTCCTTTTCTCTTTTATACCTTAAGATTTGGAATATCATGCATCCCAAATGCAGAAGCTTAGTAATCATTGATGGAATTGAGCGATAAATTAAATGGAGGTATATGTAATTTTTAAATGCTTGTAAAGTTCTCTGTTCCAAACATTTACTGAAAGTAGACAAGAAGTTTTAAATCTTATCGCATGCCAAGGCATATGTTTTTGAGTCAGCCCTTTTCTTTTCCTTCAATTCCTTAGCTTTCCACCCAACATTGAGCAGAAAGTTTTTAAGCCATGTCACTATATTTTCTCTTTTCCTTCTATCCAATTTTTTGTTTTTCTCCCTTTATTCTTCCTGCACCTTCCATCTAAAATTAGGGGACTAAGTCTACTTTTTGGTGTTAGTGCATGTACTGTAGTAACCAAAAGACTAGTCGAGATAACACATTGCTTGGTGGTCATTAAGAGATAATCTTAATGTCGAGAGTGTATGCAACAGTTTAAAAAATAGAACATTTTTACCCTTGGGCTGGCCACGAGCAGCTCATATAGTAGATTGGGTTTGAATCCACTCAAGCTCAAGGTTTGAATAAAATAGTGTAGTTCACTAATACATTATATCTTATAGTATCTTTCATTCACCCCTTTTTTTTTTTTTTTTTTTTTTTTTGTGAACAAATAAAATATCTTTTAAAACTCCCACGTTTATGATTTTATTTACAACCATCCCAGCTCTGTATACATGATGATTTTTTAAGCTTCTTTTACTATGCAATTCTCACGATTTCCTATAAAAATATACCACTTTATTTCGTAGAACATTATCTAACCACTAGCTAAACCAAAACAGAAACCCTAAAAATTCACCAACTAAACAAATCTTACAACTTTTGATTCTGATTATAATTATAGATTATTTACCTAGATCTTTTAACTGGAATATAACAATGCATTTAATTTCTATGTCACTCTCTCATGATTCAATTGCTATTGTAGGTGCCACCAATAAACCTCAGGAGCTGGATGATGCTGTACTCAGAAGGCTGGTAAGCAAAGTATTAAATTGCTTCTTCTAGCATTTGCTATTAGCTCATTAGTGTGATTTCGTTTTTCATTCATGTAAACTGATATTGTTTCTTATATTTTGTTTATTCATGTGGACAGATTACATATATATAGGCAGTAGATTAGGAATGTCTAGGGTCTCTATTTAACACTTCTACAAGTTTCTATGACTACCTAACCACCTATTTCCTAGAACTGTAATTATGTTGTGCATTCCCATAAACCTACTATGCTACACATTCCAATACTCTTAACACTCCCCCTCAAGTTGGTGCATAAATGTTAAGCATGCCCAACTTGCTACACAAGTGATTAACTCGAGACCAGTGTAGTGGTTTAGTGAAAAGATCAACAACTTGGTCTTCTGTCCGAACAAACTCTGTAGTAATTGTATTTTGTTGTATTTTTTCTCGCACAAAGTGACAGTCGACTTCAATGTGTTTAGTACGCTCATGGAAAACCGGATTAGAGGCAATGTGCATGGCGGCCTGATTATCACAATAGAGCTTAGCAGGACTTGTAGCTTCGACTCCAACTTCTTTTAGAAGTTAGATAATCCACATTATTTCGCATGTACCTTGGGCCATAGCTCGATATTAATATTCTACGCTGGAACAGGAAACCACATTTTGCTTTTTGCTTTTCCAGGAGATTAGATTTCCTCCAACAAATTCACAGTAAGCGCATGTGGACCTTCGATCTTCTTTAGAGCCTGCCCAGTCAGCATCTGTTGAACACTCTATTTTTCGTATGTCCATGATTTTGGCATAAAATCCCGCGACCTGGAGCCCCTTTTAGGTAGCATAGAATGTGCTCCACAGCCACCCAATGATCGTTAGTAGGAGAGGATATAAACTGACTGACGACACTTACAAGGTATGCAATGTCTGGCCGAGTGACTGTAAAATAGTTTAGCTTCCCAACTATCCTCCTGTACCGTTCAGGATCTTTGAATGGTTTTCCCTCCTTTGTCAAGCAAGTGTTTAGAACCATGGGAGTGTTGCAGGGTTTTGCACCCAACTTTTTTGTCTCAGCCAGCAGGTCTAATACATATTTTCGTTGAGAGAGATAGATTCCTTTCTTACTCCTAACGACTTCCACTCCCAAGAAATACTTCAACTTTCCCAAATCTTTTGTTTGAAACTGACTCTATAGTGATGCAATACCCATTGAGTCATTTCCAGTTATAATTATATCATCCACATATATTACCAAAAGAATAACACGTGAGTTGGACCGTTTGTAAAAGATGGAGTGATCTGATTTTCCCTTCACCATACCATATTGTTCGAGAGCTTGGCTAAATTTGCCAAACCATGCACGAGGGCTTTGTTTCAGGCCATAAAGAGATTTTCGCAAATGACAAACCTATGACCGCTTATTCCTCCCTGAGCAACAAACCCTGAAGGTTGCTCTATCTAAACCTCTTCAGTAAGATCGCCATGCAAAAAGGCATTCTTGACATCTGGTTGATGAAGCTGCCAACCTAAGAAGACGCATTTTAATGATTTTGGGTCAAGTTTAGTAACATATGGACGGGTATCTCGGACAAAACATGTACAACCAAATATATTTAGGGGCAATGGATAAATAGGTTTGTTGGGGAAGAGAATGTGACAAGGTGACTGACCGTTAAGAACAGAGGACGGCATCCGATTAATGAGGAAACAAGCGGTGGAGATAGCATCGGCCCATAAATGTTTGGGGACACTCATTTGAAATATAAGAGCTTTGGCTATTTCAAGTAGGTGTCTATTTTTCCTTTCGGCTACACCATTCTGGGCTAGAGTGTCAACGCACGAAGTTTGGTGTATAATTCCATTTTGTCTCATAAAAGACTTGAATGACTCAAATAGATATTCTTTAGCATTGTCACTATGTAAGATATTGACTTGGAGATCAAACTGGGTATGAATCTCAACACAAATTTTGAAAATGTGAAACCAATTCTGACCGATGTTGCATAAAGAAAATCCAAGTCATTCGAGAATAATCATCAACAAATGTAACAAAATATTTAAACCCTTGTTTAGACGACACGGGACATGGACCCCAAACATCCAAATGAACACGGTCAAAAGGAGCCTGGACACGACTAATCTCCCTAGGACTCAAACTGACACGATGATGTTTAGCAAACTGACATGATTCACAATTGAACGAAGGAAAATTTTGGAAACTAGGACACATTATTTTCATTTTCTGAAGAGAGGGGTGACCTAACCGACAATAAGGTTCAAATGAGATCCAGTACATATGCAGGTGATGGGCTTGCGGATTGAAGTGTCGAGGGTATACAATCTGCCTTACTCATATCCCTTGCCAATCATCTTCTTCGTCTCCAAATCCTGGAAAACACAAAAACCAGGAAAGAATGTCACACTATAGTTTAGGGCACGGGTGATTTTACTAACAGAAATTAAATTAAATTAAAGGAAAAGTTAGGTAGGTTCAAGACAATGGATAATGAAATGGTTGGTGTAATATCTATTGTTCCTGACCCAACATCTTGGGTAGTGGATCCATCTCCAAAGGTAACTGGGGATTGAGAATAATGTGATTGATAAGTCGAGAAAAGGTTAGGATTACCTGTCATATGGTTTGTGGCTCCTGAATCAATGACCCAAGAGCCGGAGGATGTGACAAGACAAGTACTGGAGTTACCTGCGGTGGTCATAGCTGGGATTGCAGTAGATGAATGCGATTGGTTCTCTTGAGACATGGATAACTTGAGTTCTGACCTTCCGAAGAGGCTATATGGGCGAATTGATCCTGCAACTTTCTACAATATTTCTTAACATGCCCTGACTTCTTGCAGTAGTGACATATGATGTCCGGGTTACTCTTATATGTTCCTCGTCGATTTTCACCTTTGAATGGTTTGTACTCTTTCTTGCTCATCAAGGCTCCACTGGAAGAGACTGGATAAGAGTCGGTTCGGAGGACTCTAGAGAATATATCTTGTAGAGAAGTCATTTAAGAGCTCCCCAATATTTGAGATTTCACTGGTTCATACTCACTTCGCAAACCCGCCAAGAAACTCATAATGGCCATTTGTTCTCGTTGCTTTTGTTGTTCTCTAATATCGGCACAAAAAGGCACGAGTTCATTTAGCTCTTCATATGTCTTTTTTAAGTCCATAAAATAGTTCACAAGAGATTTGTCTGTCATCTCAGCCCGATAAAATGCCTTGCACACATTGTATATTCGGGTAACATTCCCTTTACCCGAGTATAAGAACTCCAAATATTGAATCAAGTCCTTGACAGTATTGCAGTGGCTCACCAAACCATAGACTTCCAAATCGATCGAATTTCTGATCTGCAGGAATAACCTTGCATCATCCCGAAGCCATGCCCTCCTCTCTTTTTCACCGGTAGGTGGGTTTCCTCCAAATGATCATCCTTCTCAATACTTAGTAGGTATAACTTTCCAGTTTTGCTCCACTCCAAATAATTCGACCCATTAAGTTTATAATTGGTAATTTTGTATGTAACTGGAGCAACTTCAGAGACAAAAATAGATTTGTCCTCACTCATTATCGATTAATAGCAGAACTACTTGGAAGCTACAATACCAATCTGAAAATTGACATTCTGGAATTATTACTAGTACGCTGAACCAGTGAACAAATCTGGGTTCTCCACCAAAAAGAAATCGTACCCACCGGAGCAAAATCTGCTCTCAGCCGCACCTGCCAGAGCACCAGGCACCACCCCGCAAGAGCACCAAGCGTCGCCGCATACACTGGTGCGTGAAACAGTTGCTGAACACGTAGTCACACGCTTGCCAGAATCTCGCCAGAATGCCGCCATAGAGGTCGCCCGTCACCGCCAAACCTCCACTTGCCGGAGGTGAGATGAATATAGACTTTAGACTTTCACGCCCAAGGATCAGGCAGTTGTTTGCCCTAAAATCTGCTATGATACCATGTAAACTGATATTGTTTCTTATATTCTGTTTATTCATGTGGACAGATTACATATATATATATATATAGGCAGTAGATTAGGAATGTCTAGGGTCTCTATTTAACACTTCTACAAATTTCTATGACCACCTAACCACCTATTTCCTAGAAATGTAATTATGTTGTGCGTTCCCATAAACCTACTAAGCTATACCTTCCATTACTCTTAACAATTCATAACCATTACATTTTAGATTTTCTCCTGCAAAACTTTTAGGGCATTTGTTTTATGTAAGCATATCGGAAAGCTATTTGCATATGCATATCATTATTCTTGAACACATTGATGCTGAGTGTGATGTTGATTGTCTATACATGAATTGTATATAGGTTGGCGAAAATTTCAATACTTTAAACAGCAATACTTTTATTTATTTAAGGTGTATTTACTTTATAGGATGAGATTATAATCATGGAGTTATTCTAGCAGGATATTATAATTATATGTTGTTTAGTGCAATGGATTAATGCATGTGATTGTTATTGACATAAAATGTCTTTAATTTATATAATATAGTTAACATTCCCTCCGTCCTAAACCTTTAGCTATTATCTCTAATTTGAGATGTCCCAAACTTTTTACAATTTTTTTAATTTGTATCCTGTGTTTCCTTTTTTACCCTCGTAAATACAAATTATAAAATCATTCCAAACAAAAAAATAAGAGCAAAATGGTAAAAAATACTGTAAAAATTATAGCCTTTAAAAAACCATACCAAAAGTAAATATATCAAACATTTAGGGAAAGAGGGAGCATTAAATTAGTTAGTAATGAAGGTTAAAATAGACATGGCACAATTATTAGCTTGGGACAATCCAATCACACCCATTGAAGAAGGATTAATTATCCTTAGTTATAGTATTATTGTACGAGGCTTTAACTTATTTCGAGTTCTAATCATCTAAAGTAAAACATATGCTTAGGTTGATAAAATAATATGATCTAGTCTAATCGTAAGTAAACAGTAAACACCCCCTTAATAAATTTTCTTTTAAGTATTGGGTTGTGGTAAAGTGATCTATCTGAATCTTGGCACAGGTAAAAAGAATATACATACCTCTGCCAGATAAAAATGCAAGAAGGCTTCTTTTGAAACACAAGCTCAAGGGCGGTGCTTTTTCTTTGCCAGGTAAGAACACTGCTTTAGCTCAACTAATATGATGCAGGTATCCATTCTTTTTTCTGTTTAATAATGATATTTTTTATTATTTTTGGCTTCGTAAACAGATAGAGATTTAGAGAGACTAGTAGCAGAAACAGAAGGTAAGACAAAATTTCCTAGTAGTTTGCATTTGTCAGCTTAAATTATTAAAAGTTATAAGGGATTTATTGTAATCTATTTGCTACAACTAAATGAAGCAATGCCATGCTGCACTGTAAACTCCTGAATTATAAAAGTGGTAAATATTAATGATATGTACGAAAAAGAGGCTGCACAGTGAAGCCTACCGGTAAATCATTGTCATGCTAATTTACGTGAGTCACAAGGATATGTCTAGGTTTATTTGATAATATAGGTAACTATAGAAAATACATATTGGCAGATTGGTTGTTTTATTATTGAGAATTTTTTACTGTGCGCAATTTTGAAGAAAGACCTGTTCAACAATTTTCTTACTCTTGTTAATCTGTTGGAATTCTATAATGTTAGGATATTCTGGAAGTGATCTTCAGGCACTATGTGAAGAAGCTGCAATGATGCCCATAAGAGAACTTGGCTCAAACATCCTTACAGTCCCCGCAAATCAGGTTTTAGTCATGCAGACAATTTTTTGTTTGTTTCAAAAATTTCCACCAATTTTCACTATTGATATGACTTCTTTTCCTTCAAAAAACATATCAAATCAAACACTTATTTTCTATTTTTTATATTATACTTAAAAATTAATTTTACATTCAAAACATTGCATCAATACCTATTTATATCACATCATACAACTATTCAAATTCAAAATTTCAACTATTTAAATCTCAATCCAAAATCCAAACCACTAAAGAAGCACCCTTATTCTTCCCTGCCCTTAAATTCACCTATTTTAACATAATCTATTTGCTTCATAGAAGTTTCTGGTGAATTAAATGCTTATCCCAGATTAAGTTCAATGTGTGTTCGATTTGACGTGCATATAAATGTGATTTTTTTTTTATCTTTCTTTCATTTTAAAAATAAATTGTACCATGTAGGGCTTCTTAATCCCTTTATAATTCCAAGTAGCTTATTGGTTGTGTTCACTTAGATTTAGTTGTTTTTTTATGTAAAATGTGATGAATCATGTCGGTAATATAAAATTATAATAGTAATAACAGTTTGAGTTAAATTTTTTACTTTTGGGAAGTGTATCGGTATTATATATAAGTGGTGTTTGTTTATGTATTGCATTATTTGATAATATTAACTGAGAATGATGTAGAAAATTTCGGGTTAGGTGAACACACATTTTGAAAATATATATGTTCTTATGTTTAGGTAAGGGGGTTGAGATATGAAGATTTCCAGAAGGCGATGACTGTTATCCGGCCTAGCTTACAGAAAAGCAAGTGGGCAGAACTCGAAAAATGGAACCGTGAGTTTGGCTCCAACTAATATTACTTGTGTTAATTTTACTGCATTTGCAATTTGACGTGTATATATATATAGCTTTGACAAAAAATGAAAAAAAAATCTTTAATTTGTACAAAATAATTTTAAAAAAATACTCTCTCTGTTTCATGTAATATGAGTGTATTACTGTAGACACAAAAATTTAGGTAAAGTATACTTAGTAAGTAATTAAGAAATGTATTAGTAAATATAATTATTATTTAGTAAAAATAATTATAGATTAAGATTAAGATAACTAAATAGTTTAATTAAGATTAAAAAAATTTAAATTTTAAATTTTAAAATATGATTAAAGTGTATAATTAATTTTTCAAAAAAGAAAATGACAAATTATGTGGGACGGACGAAAATACAAAATAAGGACAGATTATGTCGGACAGGAAGTATCACCCAAGCATGCCTTCCCTGTACCTGGAAATTATTCAGAAAAGTGATTTAGGATCCTTCTAGATGAAAACTCTACTGTTTATACATTGCTTTTGGTTTGTATTAGTATTTTTATTAGTACGGATTAGGTGTGTCAATAGGAGTATAATTCTTTAGATTAATTAAGGGTGTGTTTGTTCGGAGGTTTGGACTTTGAGTTGAAATTTGAATAATAAAAATTTTGAATTTAAATAATTGTACGATGTGATATAAATAGTTGTTGATGTGATCTTTTGAATGTAAAATTAATTTTTAGTATAATATAAAAAATAAAAAATAGATGTTTGATTTGATATTTTTGGAGAGAAAAAATAGAGTGAATAGTGTATTTAAAATTCAATCACCCAAACAAACATACCCATGCTATGGCTAATTGCTAAAGCTGATGGGGTATTATTATTTATTGTTAGTGTCAAGTCAGAGTAAATTGAAACGGTGTATTTATTTATTTTAATTGAAGTTTTGATTTAGTAGCTTGATTTGTTATTTTGTGAAAATAAATATTTTAATAAAAACTGTGTTAGTTGTATTGTAGAAAAGAAAACATAAAATAAAATAAAATGCAGAGAGAATACAAATTTGGACTTATAATAAGTATGTGATTTTTGTACTGAAAAATCACCTAAGCATGGCCCCAAAAAAACAATTTTATTCACTTTATTTATAATTTTATTATATTAAACTATTTAATAATTAATTTGTCACTATTTTTTTATATTTTTTATTAGCTTTTTATTTTTTATCAATTTCTTATAATATTTTATTTTACTTTTTTTATTTATTTTATTTTTAGATTAAATAGGAGTATTATTTTTAGTTTCTGTATCTAAGCAAAGTGACATAATTAATCCGGAGAGAAGGAGTATTACTTTGTGTTAATGTTAACTTTTTATGAAAGATTATAGTAATATATTATTTTTTGCGTACTATATGTTATGTCACAGTTTTTATTTATGTCATTTCTATTAGAGTATAAGAAGAAAATAGATATATTAGTTTAGAATTAAATTGAGAATTGTCTTTCCGTATCTCTTTTCTTTAATATTTGATTATTAAGTATAAAATATTACTATTTCCGTTCCAAAAGAGAAGAATTATTAGTTTCTTGCGTGTAGATATTTAAATATTAATTATTAGAGTAAATTAATATATAATATAAAAAATAAAAAAATATAATATATTTGTTAGTCTCTTATAATATAAATATAATGATATTTGTAAAGTCAATTATACAAATATAATGAAGTAAAAAACAATATAATGACAATATAAAGTCAATTTTACAAATATAATGATAAATTTTAATGTTAATACAATGACAGTAGAAAACAAATGGTATTATATATATGTATTGTCTTAAATACTATGTAATATTTTTAAAATTAAAAAAAAAAGTAATTAATCATATTTAATTTATGAATCACATTTAATCTTATCACATCAAATAAATAAAATATATATTTTTTCCTATTAATTATCATACTCTCTCCGTCCCATAACTAGGTATTTATTTGTATTCTATACGTAGTTTTAGAAATATTAGTATTATATTATAATTTATTAGAAATAAAATAGAAATTATTAAAATAACCTTATTAGTATGACATGATATAAAGGTAATGATATTTGTGTAATATATTGTAAGTTGTAACAGTTACTAAAAAAGAAAATAGATGGGAGGTAGTATTATTTTATTTAATACTATCTATTTAAATTTTTATTTTGTTTGAGATGGAGGGATAAATTTATTACTTTCACATTAGACATCAAAACTAAAAATACAAAATAGAAATTAAGCAGTGGGGTAATGGACCATGACATTATGAAAATGGATGCTTATGATGGGCTTGGCCCAATGTGTTGTCACATCATTTCTCTTGGCCCATTAAAGGAGCTTTTATTATGACGTTGTAGCGCCCATTTTCACCTTCTTTTTTCCCCTATATGTAAAAACCATTTCGATATGTTCTTTCCGTATATAATACTTCCCTTTGTCCCAGATACCATGTCTGTTACACTGTAGATACGGTATTTTAGGAGGGGTGTAATTAGTAAATAATTAAGAATGTATTAGTAAAAATAATTATCCTATAATATAAATAATTATAGATTAAGATTAAGATAACTAATTAGTTTAATTAAAATAAAATAAAAAAAAATTTAAAATTTAAAATGAGATAAAAGTGTGTAATCATTTTCCAAAAAAGGAAAGTGACATGGTATGTGGAACAAACAGAAACGGCAACGTGGACATGGTATTTGGGACGGATGGAGTAATATTTTGACGGTTTGGCAAACAGTTTTTTAAAAAAATTTTATTAAAATTTTTTTAGCTTATTTAACAGGAGGTTTGATCATAAAAAAAAAAAAATAAAAAATAAAAAAAAATAAAAAAATTAGGTGTTTGATAAATTAGTTTTTTGAAATAGCTTATTACCTCAAAAAGCTAATTTTTGAAAAATTATATAACCATATTTGAATTTCTTTATTCCTTAGCGCTTAAAATGTTATTATTTATTTCACATGCATATAAATATATTTTCTACTGCAGTAATCATAAATTATTTTAATATACTACCTCCGTTCGGCTCTAAGGGTCTCATTTACTTTTTGTGTATTGATCTTTAAATATTAATTATTGTATAAAAATATAATGCAAATTAAGAAAAAATTGCAAAAATACTCCTATTAGTGTCTTATATACTAATAGAAGGACATTTGTATAAAAAAATTATACAAATATAAGGATATTTTTAATATTAAGTACAATGACGCAAAAGGTAAATGCGACCTTTAGAGGCGGACGAAGAGAGTATTATTTATTAAATTATAATTTTATTTTTATAAATTTAAATCAATTAATTTATATATATAATTTATTTTATTTGTAAACTATATATATTTATTAAAATAAAATAAAAATCAAAACATAAATATTATTAATTTATTTTTATATTAAAATTAAGTAAAATAGAATAGATTTCTTAAAAATTATAAATATAAATTAATCAATAATTAATACAATAAATATATTTTAAAAAATTATTATTTTATATTTTACATCATTATTAATAAAAAAAGTATTCATATTTCTTAATAATAACATATATTATTTTTCTCACATCTAAAATTAATTAAAAAAAATATTTTATAATACATTCGAAATTTCAAATAACTAATAAAAAAAATTAAAAAATTTTCAAACTAAAAAACACAATTAAAAATTTTTAAAAGTAAATGTTTTCAATTGTCATTTTACATATAAACAGCTAATATCAAATAGTTATTTTACCAAAGACTTAACAGCTAATTGAATAAACTAGTCATACCAGCTAATTGAATCAACTAAACGCTAACAATTAATTGAATCAATTAACAACTAAAAGCTATCAGCTGATTGCCAAACACACTCTATAAAATATGTAAATAGAGACAATAAAATTATATGAAGGTATGATAAATTTATTAAATAATTAATACTCTGTCCATTTCAATACAATAGAGACATTTTAGATGAATATGAGAATTAAAAATAATAGTATTATATTGATAATAGGTGTAAAAGTGTTTTTAAAAGACTAAAATGTCCTTACTTAATGTAATTATTGTGAAAAAAGTAAGAATAGTTTTGTAAAAGATAGAGAATTATTTACCAAAAATAGAGTGAGACTATTGTTTTGGGACGAACGAAAATAACAAAATGAGACTATTGTTTTGAAACGGATGGAGTAAAAAAATTAGTTTGATAATTAAAAAATATCGACAAATTGATTATTATTTATTAAAATAGAGACAATAAAATTATGGGCAGATAAAGTTTTGTATTATAATGAATTATATATAAAATTTAATAGAAAAAATGATAAACTAATTTTTATAATATTTATATTTATATTTTTATATTATACTTCCTCCGTCCAATTTCTATTGTCCTAAAGTATATTTACACGGTTTTTAGGTGATTGTCTTTTTGTTATGAATTGACAAAATTGCCCTTAATTGTATGGTAGAGATTAAAAGTAATAAATGAATGAAGGGTGAAAATGTAAAATTTGTGTTTAAAAAAGGAAATATGACAATAGTTGTTGGACGTTCCAAATAGGAAAGTAAGACATTAGTTTGTGGACGGAGAGAGTATAAAATTTTATTTTCTATACAATAATATGTATATTGATATATTTTTGAAAAAAATATATTTTAATATAAATATAAATGTATGCATATTTTTTATTGAGTTTGAAGAAAGAAAATATGATGTGAAAAAAAAATAATATAATATGAAAATGCCAAGATATTTTAGATTGATATATTTATTGATTGTATTCTAAATATCCTCATATCAAGCAACTTTATGCAAAATTATCATTTTGATCCATAAATTGAGGCCTAAAGGGATGAAGAGAGATCTTAACCTTGAAAGTTGAAGCCCTATAAATAGCCGAAGCTTTAGAGGCTTCCAAGTAATTAGGCCTCAAAGAGAAGTGGAAAAAAAATTATAAAGATATAAAATAATCTTACATAAAAGTAATTCTTTTAGCAATGAAAGATTGGCATATCCACTAAGACTTTAGAGATCTCGCTCTTCTACAAGTTCCGTACGCTTATCCCCATCCTCAAATCAGATCCGAATTCAACTTGTTTATCTAAGATCGAGTCTAATCATTTGAGTATTTGGTTGGAAATTGTGGTTTTGTTTATATA